TTCTTCTACCAAAAAATACTTTAACATAAATATTTTAGTTACGATACTCACAGCAAGAACTTAAATACTAGTTGTAACGGAATAATAAATAAAAAGAGAACACCATAGCCTCTGGATGGAACTTCCTGGACTTAGACAGTCCAAAAGATTCATAGAGGGGCCATCCACGAGCAGACAACATCAACTGCTAAACCTTAGCAGAAGCGAACTCAAGGCCGTAATAGGACTCCTTACGGGACACTGCGGCCTTAGAAGACACCTAAATCTCTTAGGGATATCTGATGACTCCCTATGTAGAATATGTGAAGAGGAGGACGAAACTCCTATTTACATTCTATGCCACTGTCGGAACCTTAAATGGGAACGGGAATGGTACTTCAGGGTACAATATCCGGAACCTGAAGAAATCGCGAAAGCGCCCATCAGACATATTCTTGAATTCATCAAGAAAATCAATCTGATGGGGTAGAAACTGTGAAGGTTACAATAAGCCTAGAGCTTCAGTACAAGTGGGCTTTGAACCACGCCCTAATTCAGATTAGATAGATAGATAGATGTAACGGAAACTTTGGGATGATAGCTGTCATGTTACAAAGCGTAGGACGTTTAAAATATTGGATTACCAATTTAGAAGTATAGGGCCCAGTTACCTCTATGTTCCAGTTAACCAACTTGACCTTATTCCTTTTATATATTCTTTTTTATTGCTCTTCTCTTATCATCATTTGTTTGCCAGTAGGTATCTTAACACAAATCTTTTAAAATTGTCCTGTCTAAAACATCCTACTCTAAGAGTATAATACACATTGTCTCCAACCATCCCTACCTCAATGGAATCTATACATTACCTTTTCTTTAGGAAAACGGATATTGTTTATTTTTCCACTAGATTCTTTATAATTAAAGCTTGAGTAGCTGAAGTTTCTTACACTACTATAACTATGCCGTTCGGTATAAGGCAATAGTGCCAAAAAAAAAACCATTTTAAAACTACTTTTATATACTTGCTAGTATTCTAGAAGTTTTTTATAAATTAATTGCGATATAAAATAAAATATAACCTTTTCTAAAATCAAATATTGCGTAAAAAAGGCCTTTTTAAAAAAATAAGTTGAATATAAAAAGAAGCAAAGTTATAAATATATTTTTTTTGCCTTAATTACAGACGGATATTTTTGGCAACTTCGCGCGTAACTACAAAAAATACGAAGAAATAAATACAGCGGTTGCGGGACTGTTATTTTACTCTATCTTGCATATTTATATTGGGGAATAAATTCTATTTTAAAGCGATAAGAAATAATTTTAGAATCAACATGAAAATTTTTAAAATTGTCCTGGACTATATGCGCAATGGTATAATGTTCAAAAAGCCAGTTACATTTCAATGTGTAACTTTTATTGAACCATTATTATTTTAATTGTGTAGTTCACAAATCTATAACATTTAACTGAACTATAACAATTAGATGTGAATTTTACGACCTTTTATAGACCAGGAAATTTATAAGAAAATTTTCTTCAAAACGAATTCACTGTTTTCTTATCAATGTAATAGAGAAATATTTGAATTTTTACGGTATAGGCAAACTATTTGATTATACGAGGGTGGGTCAATAAATCTGTCGATAAATTTCTTACATAGAAATTTTGTAGTAACATTTAATCAGCTTTTTTAAATCGGCTTAATAAAAAAAAATAAAACTAAAAGTGAAGAATTTACATAGATCTTTTTATAATATAATTATTAATTATTACGTATTGAAGAAATTAAATTTTGTTATCTCGAGAATCTTGTTAGATGTCTATTTTTATTATTCGACTTTTAAGCACATTCTATGTAAAATAAATATATTTTCTATTCTATTTCTTGTCCTGTTTGAAATTGTAAATATTTAAGAAGTGTTTTTTAAGTGTGTAAAAGCGCATCTTCGACAATTTTTAGTGGATTGTTAAATTTCGAAGATCTTGCTTACTGCCAATGTTTAGTGTTGTATTTGTTACGGTATGTTTGTTTTTTCACGGTGCATTTTTTTCATTAATATATTTTTTGACATAAAACATTGTGTAAATTGTTTGTAAATAATTATGCCACGTATTCCTATTGTAATATATACATTTGTTGCCAATGTAAGTGTTTTTATTTTTTCTTACAGTTGGGTATCTATGTGTCACGTAATACTTACACTCAAATTTAAATTTAACCTTGACAGATTTGACATTGGAAAGAAAAATTACATTCATCGTAAGGGTTAAATATTTATAGGCGATTTAAACGAAACCTCTTGGATAAGAAACTGTAAGAAAAAATAACCTTTTATCACTATTGTAGTAATCACAGATTTAAAAAAAGTAATTTTAATGAAAATGGGACAGTCGGTACATAAAAACATATTTCAAAACAATTTTATGCAAGCCACTACCCAGACAACACACATAGTCCAATGGACGTCCATTTTAGATTCATTTGAGGGCCAAAACCATATCCGTATTCGGATATCCAGTTTTTGGACGTAATTTTAAGTTTAGCAATAATTTGTCGTCCAGTGGACGTCCATCTTAGGTCATTATTTATTTAGCCTACCAGATAATACCCATCCATATATACTTTTATATTTTTAATAGAATGCCCAGAAAGACAATGGACGTGTCGAGTTCGAACTCTGCTCTGGTCAAGTGATTTTTAATAAAAACAAATTAATAAATGGTGTATAGCGGGTTGCCAAAATAATAAATAAATTATTAAATTATTAATGTAAAATAGTGTGTGATTAGTTGCGTCGGAAGTCCAGAAAAAACTCATCTTTGGACGTCCAGACATCCAAAATTGTATATCGAATGGACGTCCAATGGACCTATTTGTGCTGTCTGGGTAATACAACATAACATATTTGCTGATAAAGATACCAAATCAACTTAATAAAAAATCACAGAGCTCTTAGCTCAAAACTAGCTGACTCAGCTCTACCAACACTTAAATGTTAGAGCAATGTTCGTAAAAACTTGATTTTTTTGACACTGGAAAAAACCTAAGAAAGCTATAATGGAAAATTGGTCGAGGATGGAACCTCAACGGCGGACGCCATGGTTACGACAATAGTGAATATGAACGGTAAGGTACAAATTACACACTGCATATTATAGCTGGATTTGTATTATTTAAATGTTTATGTAGACGTGTATTCTTTAACTTTAGCGTTCAGAATACGTTCGGTATCGACTCTGAGAAAATAGCTAATATGATTGGTTACAAACTAACGAACATTTTGTTTTCTCTAGTTAACGGGCTTTAAACGTATGTGCGTTACTTCAAGTAGTGGCCTTTCGGTGGGGGTCTGCAATTGGTAAGTCGACTTTTTGGTAAAAGCCAGGGGTGTCACTTTACCAGCAATAAAATAGTGAAAGACTTGCACATGGCCAGCAGTTTCCCATAATATAACTACCATCAATAGACTTGCATAAGGCTCGTAACTTTACATATTGCCTGCGGGGTTGGCGTAGGTGCAGTTCGGGTCCTACTAGGGGTGTTTACAACTTAGGTCCCCAACTAGAAAAACTTTGTTTCCTTTTGACATTAGTGCATGCATATCTGCGTTGGGAATTCTTCTTGCCAGGGGGTTGTATACTCATATGATTATTAAGTTGCAGCATTTAATTTTCGCATGTTCTATATATGGTGATATAAGTATTTAAGTTTTGTAAGTGTGCAAATTCTAAATTATTTTTAACTAGAATAGCGACCCCTCTCGCTGTCATTTGTCGTACGTTAATGTCTGACCTGTCTTGATTTATCATGTCTTATAATATTATAGTCCCTAATTCTAATTTTGCCCATTTGCTCTAGATTTGTCTCTGTAAGTATTATGATCTCGAATTTCTGCTTAACATTGTAAAAACAGATTCTGAGTTTGTCTTTGTATGTAGGGTTGAATTTAATTTTTGAATTTGTATGAATTTAGATTTTTTACAAAATTATTGTATACTGTGAAAACGTCTCGTTCATCTCTATATTGTCTTAAGGAATTATTGAGCTCCCGAACGGCTCGGAAAAGTTCTGCTATAATGATTAGGCTATTTAGGGTGTTAAATTCGTTATTAAGGGTGATCATATCATAATCCATAGTCCCCTGGTCTATCGCGTTCGCGGTCTGCCTCCATGGTTGTTGTTTAGGTGGTTGTAGGTTGTTTTGTTTCATTCTTTTAGGAGGTAATGGCGGAAATTCCTCTTCTCAGGCGTCCCCTTCTGGAGTGGTGCCTGCACATATTTTCTCGGCCGTTGTATTGTCTTTCTCTCCTCCATCCTGGCTACTCTTTCTAGATAGGCGGAACATTGTGAATAATTAGTCGGATGATCCCATAGAAAGTTTATACAGCTTACGCGGGTGTCCCGGGTCTTTACACATGTCCTAGTGTGATGGTTCTGGGCGCATTTCAGGCATTTAGGGGCTCGTCCACAGTTGGCGTTTGCGTAACCCCCCTTCTTGCAATTATGGCACTGTATAATGCTTTTCGTGGACTTTCTGAGTTCCCACACTACTCTTATGTTTTCAACTACCCCTATGTTTTTATTTAAGAAGTCTAGCGTTATTGATAGGTTCGTAGTTACCAGGAAAAGTGGTCGGTTTTTAGTGGACATTTTATAGACTCTTCCTACTTTTATGTCGTAGGATGCCATTAAGTCTTCTTCTATTTGGTCTGTTGTTGTGTCTTTGGTTAACCCACGTAGTACGAAAGCATGGACTTCTTCGATCTACTTGTGGTATGAGATTTTGGATTATTTTCTGCTCTTTTGCCTCGGTAATTTTTGCTGCGGTACTGTTTTTAGACTTTCTAATTGTTGGGGGTGGTTTCTGCGCATTTGGCTCTTCTGAGTCTGATTCTGTGTCCATAAGTACTTGGTATTTATTTTATACCTTTATTGACCTGGCTGCCTTGTATTTTACTAGGTATATTGAGAAAGTTTGTAGAAAATTTTCTTGGTGTTTTAAATTCACCATCCCCTACATTTGTGTCCATATTTACTACTTCTATGGTTTCCTGGAGCTCAGTGGGCCTTTCTAGGGTTACCTTGCTTTTTGGCTTTGTTTCTTGGGTAACTTTCGGCTCTTTCTGCTGTTAGATTTATATTTCTCATCTTCGCTTTACGTAATCGCTTCCATATTAACGTTCAGCACTTTTATCGTGGCCGATTCAGACCCATTAAACTTGTATATGCTATTAAGATTAAGATTTGATGAATAAATTTTATAAAATCTACAACTTCCCTCCTTAAACACTATGTTTATGTGCGACGTACATGGTTAAACAGTGTGAAGTAGTCTATCTTGGATTATATGATATCTATGGTTTAAAACCTCACTTTAAAATGTAATCGAATCTGTCAGCATTTTTTTAGTGTCAGATCCATCAAAGACATGGAAATGGTAATTACCTCCCCCAAAAATGAAACCAGTAACCAGCAACGTAGTCCAAGCTTCCGGGAAGACTCCGTCGGCCCTTCAAATACTGATAATCCTCCGGGCTATGGAGATATAAATACTTTTCTTAGGATAGCTTTTGGCAAGTATTCTAAACTTAAAATTATAGCGGAAACGGTCACATAACTACGTTAAAACAGTAAACAGAAGTCACCGTGCTAATTCTTCTAAACACAACACCATACTCAATGACTCTTAGAGCATTTCTTTTATTAGATTATAACCCTAAATTTTTTACATTTTTCTCTGAAACGTTTAACATGTAGGTACAGTAGAAACATAATAATGTATATGCAAAAAAAAGTTATGTTTATTAGGATACTCTAAATTTATTTATTTTCTGAAAACCACTTAACTCTGTCGTAATGAAACAAGAGGCTCGGACAAAGAGGTCAATAATGGGGAATTAAAAAAATATGCCGACATGGCGAATACGAAAATGTAAAATGTAGGGGAGAAAGTAAGTATCTACCCTCTGGTAATAGCGAGAAATTATATTATACAATAGTATCCTAACACGCATAAAATTATAAACTAAAAATATTGAAAGGTAACCTAACAGTGTGTAAAAATTATTTTTAAATATGTATCTAGGTTAGGATGAGAGTATTTTATATAGGAATTCTTCAGTTACAATAATGGCAATTATTTATAAAACACCCTGTATATATTTTCCGTTACCTACTTATACGGGTACGGAATTTTCAACACGGATAGTATATTTTTTAATGAGGAACAAATTTTAATAGGAACATGAACATTACAGATTTATGCACGACGAGCGACAGCGGTTTCTATCTGATAAGTGCATGTTCCTATTATACATTGGTGCACTCCTTTTAAGGTATAGTTTTAGTCAAATACGTTGTCGCGTTTCTGCTATCCTCATACCAAAATTTTGTAGACAAAATTGGATCTTTTCGAACTCGGAACTTTGTATCAGGATAATAGAAACGCGAGGAGATATCGAAAATTTTTATTTTGGCAATAGCTTTTTTAATATTGCTGTTAGAAAAAAACTGAGTCAATTTCTAAGATCTACATGTGACCCTCTATACGTATGCAAATTTAAACAATTTTTATTTTTTCAAAAAAATCGAAAGTGTATAGCCTTCCAAATTTTTTGACAAAAAATGTTTTTGTCTCCGATCTTGATGAAAATTGGGGTACATATAAAGGAAAGCACGAGCAATTAAGGGGTGAACTCAGTTGCTCCCCAGCTATAAGGGTTAACTTTTTTTTCTTAATTCCTCAGTTAATAATGATCGAATTATTCCATAAATTCACACAAAGGTAGAGCCGGACGGATGGTTTAAAATGCTCTATGCCGCTTGTCTCTATTTTGAGCCGTTTACTAGTTATTCGCATTTAAAAATAAGTCAAATACCTTTTCGCGTTTCTGCTATCCTCATACCAAAATTTTGCAGACAAAATTGGATCTTTTCGAACTCGGAACTTTGTATCAGGATAATAGAAACGCGAGGAGATATCGAAAATTTTTATTTTGGCAATAGCTTTTTTAATATTGCTGTTAGAAAAAAACTGAGTCAATTTCTAAGATCTACATGTGACCCTCTATCCGTATGCAAATTTAAACAATTTTTATTTTTTCAAAAAAATCGAAAGGGTATAGCCTTCCAAATTTTTTGACAAAAAATGTTTTTGTGTCCGATCTTGATGAAAATTGGGGTACATATAAAGGAAAGCACGAGCAATTAAGGGGTGAACTCAGTTGCTCCCCAGCTATAAGGGTTAACTTTTTTTTCTTAATTCCTCAGTTAATAATGATCGAATTATTCCATAAATTCACACAAAGGTAGAGCCGGACGGATGGTTTAAAATGCTCTATGCCGCTTGTCCCTATCTTGAGCCGTTTACTAGTTATGCGCATTTAAAAATAAGTCAAATACCTTGTCGCGTTTCTGCTATCCTCATACCAAAATTTTGCAGACAAAATTGGATCTTTTCGAACTCGGAACTTTGTATCAGGATAATAGAAACGCGAGGAGATATCGAAAATTTTTATTTTGGCAATAGCTTTTTTAATATTGCTGTTAGAAAAAAACTGAGTCAATTTCTAAGATCTACATGTGACCCTCTATCCGTATGCAAATTTAAACAATTTTTATTTTTTCAAAAAAATCGAAAGGGTATAGCCTTCCAAATTTTTTGACAAAAAATGTTTTTGTCTCCGATCTTGATGAAAATTGGGGTACATATAAAGGAAAGCACGAGCAATTAAGGGGTGAACTCAGTTGCTCCCCAGCTATAAGGGTTAACTTTTTTTTCTTAATTCCTCAGTTAATAATGATCGAATTATTCCATAAATTCACACAAAGGTAGAGCCGGACGGATGGTTTAAAATGCTCTATGCCGCTTGTCTCTATTTTGAGCCGTTTACTAGTTATTCGCATTTAAAAATAAGTCAAATACCTTGTCGCGTTTCTGCTATCCTCATACCAAAATTTTGCAGACAAAATTGGATCTTTTCGAACTCGGAACTTTGTATCAGGATAATAGAAACGCGAGGAGATATCGAAAATTTTTATTTTGGCAATAGCTTTTTTAATATTGCTGTTAGAAAAAAACTGAGTCAATTTCTAAGATCTACATGTGACCCTCTATCCGTATGCAAATTTAAACAATTTTTATTTTTTCAAAAAAATCGAAAGGGTATAGCCTTCCAAATTTTTTGACAAAAAATGTTTTTGTGTCCGATCTTGATGAAAATTGGGGTACATATAAAAGAAAGCACGAGCAATTAAGGGGTGAACTCAGTTGCTCCCCAGCTATAAGGGTTAACTTTTTTTTCTTAATTCCTCAGTTAATAATGATCGAATTATTCCATAAATTCACACAAAGGTAGAGCCGGACGGATGGTTTAAAATGCTCTATGCCGCTTGTCCCTATCTTGAGCCGTTTACTAGTTATGCGCATTTAAAAATAAGTCAAATACCTTGTCGCGTTTCTGCTATCCTCATACCAAAATTTTGCAGACAAAATTGGATCTTTTCGAACTCGGAACTTTGTATCAGGATAATAGAAACGCGAGGAGATATCGAAAATTTTTATTTTGGCAATAGCTTTTTTAATATTGCTGTTAGAAAAAAACTGAGTCAATTTCTAAGATCTACATGTGACCCTCTATCCGTATGCAAATTTAAACAATTTTTATTTTTTCAAAAAAATCGAAAGGGTATAGCCTTCCAAATTTTTTGACAAAAAATGTTTTTGTGTCCGATCTTGATGAAAATTGGGGTACATATAAAGGAAAGCACGAGCAATTAAGGGGTGAACTCAGTTGCTCCCCAGCTATAAGGGTTAACTTTTTTTTCTTAATTCCTCAGTTAATAATGATCGAATTATTCCATAAATTCACACAAAGGTAGAGCCGGACGGATGGTTTAAAATGCTCTATGCCGCTTGTCCCTATCTTGAGCCGTTTACTAGTTATGCGCATTTAAAAATAAGTCAAATACCTTGTCGCGTTTCTGCTATCCTCATACCAAAATTTTGCAGACAAAATTGGATCTTTTCGAACTCGGAACTTTGTATCAGGATAATAGAAACGCGAGGAGATATCGAAAATTTTTATTTTGGCAATAGCTTTTTTAATATTGCTGTTAGAAAAAAACTGAGTCAATTTCTAAGATCTACATGTGACCCTCTATCCGTATGCAAATTTAAACAATTTTTATTTTTTCAAAAAAATCGAAAGGGTATAGCCTTCCAAATTTTTTGACAAAAAATGTTTTTGTCTCCGATCTTGATGAAAATTGGGGTACATATAAAGGAAAGCACGAGCAATTAAGGGGTGAACTCAGTTGCTCCCCAGCTATAAGGGTTAACTTTTTTTTCTTAATTCCTCAGTTAATAATGATCGAATTATTCCATAAATTCACACAAAGGTAGAGCCGGACGGATGGTTTAAAATGCTCTATGCCGCTTGTCTCTATTTTGAGCCGTTTACTAGTTATTCGCATTTAAAAATAAGTCAAATACCTTGTCGCGTTTCTGCTATCCTCATACCAAAATTTTGCAGACAAAATTGGATCTTTTCGAACTCGGAACTTTGTATCAGGATAATAGAAACGCGAGGAGATATCGAAAATTTTTATTTTGGCAATAGCTTTTTTAATATTGCTGTTAGAAAAAAACTGAGTCAATTTCTAAGATCTACATGTGACCCTCTATCCGTATGCAAATTTAAACAATTTTTATTTTTTCAAAAAAATCGAAAGGGTATAGCCTTCCAAATTTTTTGACAAAAAATGTTTTTGTGTCCGATCTTGATGAAAATTGGGGTACATATAAAAGAAAGCACGAGCAATTAAGGGGTGAACTCAGTTGCTCCCCAGCTATAAGGGTTAACTTTTTTTTCTTAATTCCTCAGTTAATAATGATCGAATTATTCCATAAATTCACACAAAGGTAGAGCCGGACGGATGGTTTAAAATGCTCTATGCCGCTTGTCCCTATCTTGAGCCGTTTACTAGTTATTCGCATTTAAAAATAAGTCAAATACCTTGTCGCGTTTCTGCTATCCTCATACCAAAATTTTGCAGACAAAATTGGATCTTTTCGAACTCGGAACTTTGTATCAGGATAATAGAAACGCGAGGAGATATCGAAAATTTTTATTTTGGCAATAGCTTTTTTAATATTGCTGTTAGAAAAAAACTGAGTCAATTTCTAAGATCTACATGTGACCCTCTATCCGTATGCAAATTTAAACAATTTTTATTTTTTCAAAAAAATCGAAAGGGTGCCTTCCAAATTTTTTGACAAAAAATGTTTTTGTGTCCGATCTTGATGAAAATTGGGGTACATATAAAAGAAAGCACGAGCAATTAAGGGGTGAACTCAGTTGCTCCCCAGCTATAAGGGTTAACTTTTTTTTCTTAATTCCTCAGTTAATAATGATCGAATTATTCCATAAATTCACACAAAGGTAGAGCCGGACGGATGGTTTAAAATGCTCTATGCCGCTTGTCCCTATCTTGAGCCGTTTACTAGTTATTCGCATTTAAAAATAAGTCAAATACCTTGTCGCGTTTCTGCTATCCTCATACCAAAATTTTG